TAGCTAGTGTTCGGACACCTTGGATAATGCTAATGCCGACGGTACTGCAACATTCAAGCTTCATAACTCAAGTTTTACTTAATCAAGAAATATTTTATCTATGTGTTTTGGAAAGCTCTCGAGATGAGCTACAAGAATATGTAATAAAAAATGGAGGGTTCCATTAAAAAAATTTGAAGTGACTTGTCCCTAACCTTGACAGCGCCACCCAAGGTCAAACCAATGGTATCATTTTATGTTCCCCCTGAAGTCAAACAATTTTTGTTTGAAACATTTTTTTTTGTATCTAAACTTGTTTCCAAATAAAAACCACCTTTTTTATTTGGAAACGAGTTTAGATACAAAAAAAATGTTTCAAACAAAAATTGTTTGACTTCAGGGGGAACATAAAATGATACCATTGGTTTGACCTTGGTAACTGACTTTACGGACACCCTGCATAAACGATGTGTTGACGCATTTTTCAGGTAGCGTGAAATATAAATTTAAATTGAAAGGAAAGATGCCTTAAAAATGCGTCAATACTTTGTTTATATATATTGGTTATTGAAAGGATTATCAAGGCATCATATGCCTTGATAATCGAATGGCAGGATTATACCTCACCTGGCAAATAGAGAGATCCAACATCAAGTTCTAGCTGAAGTGATATTTTTCGCAATAAACTTTTTACAGGTTTTGGGGGAGGAGGATTCTTATAGATACTAGTTAGCACCAAAAATATTAAATTGAACAATTTAATTTATTACAATGGATTCCAGCTTCATGTAAGAACTTTGTTTTAAGACCGACAAAAAATGCGACGTGCTTTTGTGTATGGCTAGATATTGTAACAATAAAAATTATTATACACATCCGTCGGTTCGCATTGGCATACTTTATTATTTCTGATTTATTCTTGGAAGCCTAATTTCTTTCAATTTAAATTTATAATTTAAAATTTTATATATCACATACTGCACACATGTGAAAGAAATTTTATTTAAGTTAACATAACTCGTCGAAGATGGATAGCACTTTATCATTATAAGGAAATTAGTTTAACAGCAATTCAAAATTTCTTCAAGTATTGTATTTTATTATAAACATATTGGACAATTTTATAACAGAATTATATAACGGAAATACGAAAATTTTTAAACAATTAAATTATATGAACAATTAGGAAATATACTATATTGACATATAAAAAAAATGAAATATTTTGAAAACGATGCATTTCTGAAAAAAATTGCCTAAGTGAAAAGATATTGAAACATTTTTTGATGCAGTAGTATAAAAATTTGATCTTTGGTTGTCATTAGGGATACAGACGATTCCAACTTCTGACTTTGAAGACAGATATCTTCGAAGTATAGCTCTGAATAATATTAATGGCATACAGACGATTCCAACTTCTGACTTTGAAGACAGATATCTTCGAAGTATAGCTCTGAATAATATTAATGGCATTTATACACGCGTACACATACACACACATGCGTACGCACACACGCGAACACACACGCACATATATACACATACACGCACACACACATGCACGCACGCACGCACATTCACATCCATTCCCCTATACATCCACACACCTATCCATTCACTTCAGATATATCTATATCGCGAAGATGCGATAGTAATACCTCGACCACATAATTATCTTTGACCTATTCATTTATTTCGTTTTTTAATTTTAACTGATTTTTTTTATTAATTTGTTCTGACTTCTGTTTGCAATTAGGCAACTATATATACACTCTATATACATAACTATATACACTCAATATACATAACTATATATACACAATCAAATTACCAAAGATCATCAAAAAAAGTGAATAACGATGGCTTTAGACAACGATCTTAATTTTAAATCTTGGACACTATATCAAATATGAATCAAGCGAGGACTTTAGAGCTCAATCAAATTCTACAGTATAAACGAATATACATATATATGTTTTTTCTCTAGACATTGTAATGCAAAATCCGAAAAGGTTTTATATAACTTGGAACTTAATAATATTTTACGTACGTTATGTGGATGATATAGTTCTAACAGCCCCAGCTGATCAAGTTACAAATATTCTAGATAATTTTAATAAATATCGTAACCGATTACAATTTACAATTGAATATGAAGATGATCATTGTCTAAACATCTTGGACTTATCTCTCAAAATATTATCTCATAATAAAATTGTGATAGACTGGTTTCACAAGAAAACATTTTCAGGCAGATTATTTTTTTTTACACCATCCACTTTGCAAAATTGGAAGTTTACAGTTTAATAGATCGTGTTACGTTATTGTCATATCCAATGTTTCATCAAAACAGTGATCAAACTTTAATTTTAGCTTTTTTGAAATCTTTAGCTTATTGAGTTAATTAATTGCCAATTTTCAAAGATAAAAAATGAACTAATTTTTGAGAATTTCAACTTCATTTTTCTCAAAAACATAATGTATAAATAGAATATTTTCGCTTGCAGACTCGAATTCAGAGCATTAAAAATTGTAATAAATTACTTTTCTTTTCCAAACCATGTACAGCAAAAAAAAATTAAAAGTTTTAATTCTGTGTGTATGTAATAATTATTTTGTTGTTATTATGTTTTATTTTATATACAGTGTGATTGACTTGACGGAAAAAGTCGGACCCCTTGAATTGCCAGCAAATCAAACAGGTTCGATAGAAATCGCGGATTTATCTTTAACAGGAGAAATGGGTTTATGGGGGAAGAGTGTGGTATTAAAAGATAATTATTCACCAAGAACGATATGTGCTTCCATTACGGTAATGTGATAAATACCAATACATATAAATAAAAAATTTTAATGACGAAAATAAGAATAAACACACATAAAAATAATAAATTAAGATTATTATCTTCTAAGTTAACAAATTAAAAATTATATGATATTCGATATTTTCATTTTTAATAATTAATTAACAAAATAATTATATATTAATAATAAGTCTTCTCTTTATTTAGGTTCTCGAAAAAAATATTGAGAAATTTGCTCAGGCACGTTTTTACGGTCCTATTGCTGGAACAGTTTTGTTCCGGTGGTTGGGCAATCAAATAGGCGACGATACTGATACCATTATCCATACGAATTTACATCATGTCCATAAACAGAAATTACAGTCGTTAAACTATACCGAGCATCATTGGAAGATATATATCACTGATATCTTAGAAACTGGCAAAGGTTAGAATCTGTAAAATTTCATATTTAATTTTAATAATCTAACAATAAATATAATAATTAAGTATCAGTAAACGAGAAAGGATTAAAATAGATTAAAATTTTTCAATTTATACAAGGTATCTCGTATTCAATAATACAGCGCTTGTGGGGAGATAGTGTAGACCAAACTGAACAAAAAAGTCCTCTATCATTTTGCGACCTTCGCAATAGTTATCGAGATACTAATCATTAAAAAAAAATGTACGCCAAGTATATAAGTGTATAGTATCGTACTTTAGGTACATTTTATCTAAACAAAAAATATTATTTTAACAAATAAAAGTTGTTCAAAAACAAATATGAGATTATACAAATTGCCAAGTATCTGATTAGACATAGAGAGTAGAGACAAAAATATTTTTTTAATAAATCGTTTAATTTATTCAAA